AGATTCTCATCGCATTAGACCTTATGGGCGCCTAGCTTTCCTGCTGTAAAAATGGGAGGCGGACTAAGTGAGCTGTGGGGCTCCTCTCTGTAGCAGATCTTGAGCGTGAGACCCAGTGCAAAATAATAAAGAAATGACCACAAGATGGCGTCTGTAGCTAATGAGTCTTTTTGTGCTCACTCTTGCAGTCCTTTCATTATCGGCAGTATTTACAAACGCACATGTATTACTTCTATTCTTGAGAGATATGTAAAAGTACATTTTAGACAAAAATACACAAATCCCATTATTTTTAGTTACTGCTATTTCTAAACTGATACCTTGGCAGGTGATTCTTAGAAGCTGAGTTTAGACTTTGCCAAAAATGAAATTTATGAGTAATTGTCAACTGTTGCAAAATACTAGATGTTGCTTCCTTCTAGCAGCGCCATCTCTACCTTCTTTCGAGATGGACTACTTTCCGTAATTTTAAAACACGCAGCTCCCGAAAGGTTTCCTCACTGATTTGAGTCTTAGGGTTAGGTGGCGAACAGCAATTCCTAAAATGTTTCACAGTCCCTCGCCCTTGTCTAAGGCACGGTCTGCTGTTTTTACAAGGGAGTTCCTTTTGCAGTGAGATCAGCTTCGGGGAAAGAAGTTTACGTATTTGAGCTTCCGTATTTCTTCAGATGAAAGCGATGTCATCCGTGCCCAAGACCCCCGGGGACAGCATTCAAGTCCTTAGAGGCCATCCGGGCATGGCTCTCGTGTTTAGTTTATTAAGAGAGAAGCAGTAGCCACGGCACTGCCTAAACGGTCCTTCTAGGTGCGTAGATTAGTGAGAAAAACAAGAAGCAGCGCCACTGTTGCTTTACTATGGAAATTTCTGGTTTGAAAACAAATACATGGGCGCTGACTGGTGTGGCCAGTGGGCTGGATATCGTCTTGCAAAGCGGAAGGTCGCCAGTTTGATTCCGGGTCAGGGCATGTGCCTGGGTCGCGGGTTCAGTCCCCGGCTGGGCAGCTGTGAGGGGCAACCAACAGCTGTTTCTCACACCGATGTTTCTCTCCCTTGCCTTCTCCCTCCTCTTCCCTCTCTCTAAGAATGAATAACTAAAATATTCTCTCTAAGAATAAATAAATAAATATGGTAAGCTTTGGCTTATGGCACACTTTATAATAAGAGGTATTGTTGTAGACAAATATATGGTGGTTTTACTTTATTATCGTAGAGCTATAGAGGTAATATTTTACTTGATTTATGTGATAATTTGGATGACACTAAATTTTCTGTTTTTCCTTTGATTTTATTTTACAATTACAGTTCACGTTCAATATTATGTTGTAGCAGTCCCAGGTGTCCAGCCTAGTGGTTAGACAATCACGTACGTTACAAAGTGTTCCCCCCCGATATTTCCGGTACCACCCAGTACGTGCATGGTTACCACAGTTGTTATAGACTGTATTCTGTAGGCTGTGCCTTCCATCGCCATGACTCCTCTGAAACTACCCGTCTACATTTCTGAACCCCTTCCCCTTTTTGCCCAGCCCCCAAACGTCCGGCCCCCAGTGGCTGTCAGCCTGTTCTGTGCCTGTGAGTCTGTTTGGGTGAAACGAAAGTTTCCATTAGCAGTTCCATGAGCAGGTTCTAGCAGGGCCAGCACACTCACTGGCCCGCTGAGCGTCACTGAGAGGCGGAGACACTGGGCGAGGCCGCTGGTGCCTGTGGGTCCCCGTTCTCTTAGCTGTGAGGTGCAGGCCCTTGACTTCATCCCGTATCGAAGCAAGTAAAACAGTGCGGATTCATCTGCAAGCGGAGTTCCTGTGGCTGATTCTCCGATGATCATACAAGTGCTTTCGGGTGTCGCTCTGATCTTGACAGACTTCAGCTCACTTCACTAATTGTGAAGATTTAAAAGTGGGGGAAAAAAAATCAGTTCCTTGATAGGAAACAATGAGAAGCTAAATTCCTTTTTGAAAATATAACTCACAATGGTAAACAAATCTCACATTAGGTTTTTAGATTTTTCTTTTAATGATTCTTTATATCCTCTGATTATCAATGTCGTGGACACAGTAGCTACTGAACTAAATTGTTTTACTATGTAGTACAAACAATCCATTTCTTTTTGCTTAGTTTTTTCATGCTCAGAAAAGCAAGAAAGTAAAGAGATTGAAAAGTGTTAGATATTGTCTATTATTTTTAAATATATTTATATGTATTAACTGCATAAATGCATAATGGCTTAATATTAAACATTGGCAGGAGGCGCAGTTCACATTTATTTAGTAAAAAATTTGCAACCAAGATTCCAAAAGAGGCCCAGGGACACCGGGAGCTGCCCGGTGCAGGGCCAGACCCTCAGCTTCGTAGGCCGAGCAACCCCATCCATTGGTCAGCAGCCCGGGGCAGGCGGGCGGGCAGGCTTTTCTGGCAAAACAAATTTAGAGAGCAATAGACGCCAGCGTGTCCATGGATTAATATTCAGATTGAAAAAGGCAGCTTTTTTGATGACCAGTATATTCTTCTCCATAGTCACCTGCCTTTCTGAGTACCTGCTGTATGCCTGGCACGCATGTGGTCATCTGCACTTACTGAGTACCTGCTGTATGCCTGGCACGCATGTGGTCATCTGCACTTACTGAGTACCTGCTGTAGTGGCACGCATGTGGTCATCTGCACTTACTGAGTACTGGCTGCATGCCTGGCGTGGAGTAGCTCAGTCATCCTCAAAGGGCAGAGGTCCTTGTGGAAGCAGAGACTTTCCCAGGGGTGCGAGGGAAATCCGCTTCTATCCACGTGCTCAGTCTGATCAGCCCATGGGGTCCTGGTGTTTAGTCCTTTGTGTAAATTTAACTTGCTGAAATTTTGTCTGGCTTTTTGCAGCAACGTTTATGAGGGGCAATGGTTTGTGGTTTTCTTGTAATATCTTTGGTTTTGGCAAGTTTGGGAGTGTCCTTGTGTCTTCAGTTTTCTGGAAGGGATTGTGTGGGATTAATACGATTTCTTCCTTAAAATATTTGATAGAACTCACCAGTGAAGCCAACTGGGCCTAGAGTTGTGCGTGTGTGTGTGAAGATATTGAACACCAAATTCAAATTCATTTGGGTTTTCTGGTTTTCTCTGGAGTGAGGTTTGGTAGTTCTTATTATTCTCCTTTATCTTGTGTAGATTCCCACTCTGATCTTTCCTGGGTTTCTTTCCCCCTGCTTTCTTTGGGTTTAATTTGTTCTTTTTTAGTTCTTGAGGCAGACATTTAAGTCATTTATTTGAGACCTCCCTTCCTTTCCAAGGTAGGCGTTTAGTGCCGAGCAGCAGTCCCTGCACCATGTTGGTGCCGTCCCACAATTTTCCTGTTTTGTGTTTTCATTTTTATTCAGCTCAAAATACTTCTAAATTCCCTTTTAACTTCTTCTTTAATACAGGGGGTTATTTATAAGTGTCCTGCTTATATTTCAACTATTTGGGGATTTTTCAGATATCTTCCTATTACTGGTTTCTAATTTATTTCTATTATGTTCAGAGAATAAACTTCATATGATTTGACTGTTTTTAAATTTATCGAGACGTCTTGCATAATCTATTATTTTGCTGTTTATTTTTTATTTGTTTCTTCTTTGCTCCCACTTTCCTTGTTATGCCTTCTTTTGGATTAATAGACAATTTTCCATGATGTCATTTTAGATCTTTTGTTGGTTTATCAGGTACAAGTCTTTGTTTTATTATCGTAACGGTTACTTTCAGGCTTATTGGATGTATCTTCTATTCTGCTTTCAAGTAATATGAAAGCAGCCTACCTGTCATTAAAGAACCTGCCATTATATTGCTCCATTTCTTTCTCCTGGCCTTTATGCGCTTTTTGTCATATATTTCACTCGTCATATATTCTAATCCTCACAAGATTTTGTTACTATTATTAATTAGGTAGCCAGTCATATTTTAAATATATTTAAGTACAAAAGTAGTATGTATGTAACCTCATAGTTACCATACGTAGGGCCCTTCATTCCTTCATTTGGATCCTTCTTTTTATCTGCTCATTTCTTTTCTGCCTTCGAGACTTAAAAAAAAATTAGTTTGGTCTGTTGCTGATAAATTCTGCAGCTTTGGCAAGTCTGAAAATGTCTTTGTCCTACCTTTGTCTTTGAGGGGTATTCTAGGCTGACCGTGTTTTTCCTCTTCCATGTTAAAAACGTTGCTTTATTGTCTTCCCACATTACTTTGCATGAGAAATGCGGTCATCCTTGCCTTTCTTCCTCTGTGTGTAACACGCAGACCATTCAGATTGCTCTGGATAAATGTCACGCGGACGACTGAGACCGGGCTACTGGGGCGATGAGCCCCGGGCAAAGCGCGGCGTGGGCCACCTCACTGTGCGTACGCCTTCACCGTCGTCCCTGTCTTCTGACCCTTTTTCACTTTCTGGGGCCCGTTAACGACCAAGTCTCACCGCCTCATGCCCACGGGACGTCATGACATACTAATTGCTCACTTTTTGAGCACTTGGTTTGCACTAGGCGTTCCGCCTAGAGATTTATACAGAGGGTGTAAGTTTAACTTTCCTAGCAATTGCATCAGCGGGAGGTAAGCGCTCACCAACCTGCCTTACAGCTGCAGAAACTAATGGAGATCGTTGACTGGTGCAGACTCACACTTGCTGTCGTGGGATTTGGATCCGATTACACGTGCCCGAGCCTCCACGCCTCACACCGCACACCCGCCTCTTCGGACCCAAACGGTCCATCTCTTTCTCTGTCCCTCAAGCAGAGGGGCACCAACGCATCATTCCAGCCAGCGAACCCATGCTAATCTTTTAACCTTTCATAGGCTTTCCCCTTATTGAGCGGTAGTTTCGCTCAGTAAGAATGAAAACAGGTCGAAGATGACGAGGAGTCTGGCAAGCTGGGGGCAGAGCGGAGCGGGGCAGGCCGCCGGGGGGCGGGCACGTGAGGACTTCCTTCCGTTGACACTGACCGTGACCTGCTGCTCATCTGCTTGTGCCGTGTGTTTCCTTTCTCAGTGCCTCGCTACCTGGGAATCCTTCCTGACGTCCCAGAGCGACCTCGCCTCCAAAGAGCCCTGTGAGGAGAGCCCGTGACCCCGTGGGAGACGGCCGTGGCCTTGGGGAGGAGCACCCACTAGCCAAAGCCTTCTTTCCAGATGGGCCGTGTCCTTGACAAAGTGGATGAGAGGCGTTTCACACTAGCTGGAAAACCAACAAGTTGACACTCAGGTATTCCAGATCACTGATATAAATTGGGAGATACACACACACACACACACACACACACACACATACATATATATATATGTATAAATATTTAGCTTAGTTTTACTTATGTTCCTAAATTTGTATGCCAATAATGAAATATAGAAAAAATTTTTTCTTGAGTATTTGTCTGTGGAACATATCATTTTAAATATATTATAAAGACTCAATTTTAATAAAAAGTTTCATATGAAAGGACGGGCTGTGGCGTGTTCTTTCTCCACAAGGAGCTCGGGCCTCCGAAGCGGGTTCTAATGCGAACTCCCCCCTTCAGGTCAAGTCCATGCTGCGTTCACCTCGACTTCACCATCGTTTCCTCTGAAGTATGATTCACTTTGCTACTAGGAATTTGGAATAAATAGAAAAAATGATTTACTATCCTTTAACATTGATAACTGTTCAAAAGTTGGTTTGTTAGAAATTAAGCAATTGTTTTCCACAATTTAAAAAACAAAGGGACCAAAATAAAGTTAAATTATTGAGTTATTCATTAGTTATCACGACACAACCGTATTCCCTCTAGCAAAATTGGTTTTGTATTTTTTTACATCATCTTCGCTACTCACACCTAACTTTTCTTTTTGAGTATACCCAGTGTTGACCAGATTTACTCTTCCATTTATTTAGTAAGCGCCTGCTGTCTGTGAGGCTCAGGTGTGGTGCTCAGGATCCATGGCAATGAAAAAGACACACAACACTCACTCCGTTCTGCAGACTTAGACCTAGTAAGAGTGGTCATACAAAGTGGCTTCCTACGCATGTTATGGCCGTGTTTGAACACTGAATACCTTATGGTATTTGAATATTCGCTGATTTTTAGAAATGAATATTGCTCCAGACTTTGAGTAAAGTTGGAGGTCATGCATGTTACATTACATGCAGAACTCATCATTGGGGTATTAGCCCTACAATGAGCGTCTCACACACACACACACACACACGCACGCACGCACACACAGTTAGGCATGTAAAGAATCTTAACAGGAGACATGAGCACCTATATGCATACAAACGTAAACCGTTTCCTTACACACTGGCATGTGGGATTTTTAAACCATTTGCAGTAGAGACTCTGGCTCCCTTTCCACCCTTGCCCACAGCTCGAGGCCTCACCTCCCCTGTCCCCCCGTCCCCCCTGCCCACCCGGGGCAGTGGCCCAGACAGTGGGCGGGCGCCCTTGTGGGGCTCGGGGAGGAGGTTCACACCACACAACCCCGCACTACATCACGCAGCTCTTGGCCAGCACCCCCTACCCTGCCCCTGTCTCCTCAGGCCGAAGGGGCCACTAATTTGCTTTTCTGTCCATTTGCCCACCCAGATCTGCCTATTCTAGTATTTCATATTAATGGAATCATGTAATACATGATCTTTGTGGCTGGCTTCCTTGACATGTTTTCAAAGTTCATTCAAGTTGCAGCACTTGTGAATACTTTATTTTTCATTTATGGTCAAAAATATTCCATTGCATGGGTACACTGCATTTTGTGTATCCCTTATATTGGTTTATCTTTTCATTGATAGACCTTTGGGTTGTTTTTGCGTTTGGCCTTTGAGAACAAGGCTGCTGTAACAGTTGGTGTCTAAGTTTTTGTGTGAACATATGTTTTCGTTTCCCCCGGGCCTGTACCTAGGAATGAAATTACGGGGTCATATCACAACTATATTAAAGCATTGCTGGAGCTATGAGACTGTTCCCGAAGGGGCCGCACCGTTTGCCCTTCCTACCAGCAGCGTGTGAGGTTCTGACTTCTCCACCACCCCGGAACACTTGCTATTTCCTGTTCTTTTATTATCGACATCCTAGTGGAAGAAGCGGTTATCTCCTTGCTGTTTTCATTTGCATTTCCTGATGTATCTTTTCATGTGCTTACTGCCCATTTTGTATATTCTTTGGAGAAAGGTCAGTTCTTTTGTCCTTTTTCCAAGTTTTGTCTTTCTGTTATTGTGTTATTCATGTATGTGCTAGCTCCAAATCCCGTACCAGATTATGACGCGCCAGTATTTCTTTTCACTTTCTGGATAATGTGCTTTGAAACACAGTTTTTGACTTTGACGAAGCTCCGTGTATCTGGTGTTTCCCTTACCGGCTCTGCCTGTGGTGTCCTGTCTAGCAATCCACTGCCAAGTCCAAGGTTATTCCATGCGCCCCACCCCCCGCCCCCGGCTTTCTCCTCAGAGTTTCCACTTTTAGATTCAGGCTGGGGCCCACGTGGAGGGAGTGGCTGTGCAGGAGGAGTGGCTGTGTGTGAGTGGGGGCACTCTCTCGTTCCCTTCCCCGTGGACACCCACCTGGCCCAGCACCGCTTGGAGGAGAGACCGCGTCCCCGCCTTCCAGCCCCGGGGAATGGGCCGCAGCCGCGCCCGGGGCGGGCTTCCTGAACCGGCTGTGACGTGAGCTGTGAGGGGCCTTGTTAGGAATGTGGAATGGTGGCTGGACACCTCAGCATCAAAAGCTCTGTAACCACAACAAAATAACGTCATTGCCTTTTACTAAGAAGAAAGGTTGACCCTCAAGATGACGTGTACCTTTCATTCAACAGGGGCCTTCTTTCCATAACCACTTCCCAAACCACAGATTCTGCTCTGTCCAGTTCCTTTCTCCCCAGCAGAGTAGTAAACAAATCAAGGAGCGTTTCCCAGTGCCTCGCTTTTTAGAAACCAGACGTGAGGTGACGGGCCACCTTCTCCAAGAAATGGAAGTTGCCTGGACACAGATTCTTTCCGGCAACACGATTCTGACGTCCAGCTCGCGAACGTAGAAATAATGGTCCAGCGCATTTCATAAGGGCTTTGGATAAACCGTTGGAGTCACCCAAGGTAGAATGAAATTTGGAGCATACTGTCAAGAAAAAAAAAGGCACTTCAGCATTTAAAATTCTGAGCCCCAATTTCCCATCTGCGGAAGGGGCCTTAACCTGCCAGATGCACATTGCTAGGAAGTGTGAGAATAAATTAAACACAGCTGACTCTGGCTATTTGCTCTGACAAAAAAAAAAAAAAAAGTATTAAATTCTACAACGGTTTCCCCTTGTCCCCCTACCTCGCCCCCTCCCTGATGCTTGAAGCTGCCAGCCCACCCGTGAATTCAGCTGAGATGAGGCAAAGTAATGGTCATCATTACTAAGATGTATTAAGAAACGCTCTGCATAAGATGCATATGTGCGACTATAAATATACATAGATATAAGTGTGTGCACAGGTACATGTGTGCGTGTGCAGGGTGTCAGTGTGGGTGGTAATTAGTGGAGAGACGTGTGAGTTAGCCGGAGCAGGAAGCCATTGGCAAGCGCACTGCTTCCTATGGTCCTGCCTCCTCTTCATGGATTATGGCTCCATGGGTTTTGAAAATGTATTGACATTCCTCATCGTAAGCGATGAGATCCTTTCAAATGGGACAGCAGTGGGTGGGTGTGTTTGCCACCCTCAGTGAATGTAACTCTTCTTTTAAATTTTTATTTACTGATTTTTTTTTTTTTTGAGAAAGAGGAAGGGAGAGGAAAAAATGTACATCGATTTGTTGTTCCACTTATTGATGGACTCATTGGCTGATTCTTGTATGTGCCCTGATTGGGGATCGAACCTGTAACCTTGGCCTGTTGGGATGGCGTTCTATTATTACATATGTTCCAAAGGGCAAAACTGAACTTCCACAGTTCCTGTTTATAGTTCTCCTGAGGTAAGTCATGGAGATTGAAGAGATTGTTTGTATTTTTTATTCGAAAACATAAAGTTAGGGCCATCTTTTGGTAAGCTCAAAAGAACAATGCTTCCTCGTTCTAGGGGAAGTCATCCCTGCACATGCAATTTAAGTAGCTCATCGTAGCTGGTTAAATGAGGCATTTGATAATTATGCATAAAAGATTTTCTCTTTCTACCTGAAGTATTATGATTACTGATTTTAAGATTAAGTTATTACCACTTTGAAGTGGTTTGTTTGAACCATCTGAGACTGTAAAGTCTTTGGAACCTCTTTGCATTTCAACGTCGCCATCCGTGCATCCGTTCGCGTGCTAATTCACTAATTCCACCAATACCCCACTGCCCTGGATAGGTGCCAGCCGCCCCACTCTGGGCAGGGTGAACAGTAAGGTGAATAATAAATACATCTCAACAGATGCACATACTAGTCTCTAGGGCTGCCCTAATAAAGCGCCCAAACCAGGTGGCTCGGAATAACAGCAATGCACCGTCTCGCAGTCTGGAGGCCGGAAGCCTGACGTCAAGTGTCAGCAGGACCACCTTCTGCTTGATGGCCGTAGGGGAGGGTCCCTCCTTGCCTCTTCTTGCCTCTGGTGTTCGCCGGCGGTCCTCGGAGTTCCTCGGGCAGCAATGCATCCCCCGCCCCGTCACGCGGCTGCCTTCTCCCTCAGCGTGCTCACATCGTCTTCCTGCTGGGTGTCTGCCTCTGCGTCCGAATTTCCTCTCTTCACAAGGACGGCAGTCATAATGGTTAGGGCTCATCCTAATGACCTCGTTTGAACCTGATCACCTCTATAAAGACACTATTTTAAAAATAAAGGCACATTTTGAGGTACTGGGGGTTAGAAAACACGAAAACATGAGGCAGTAGGTTTAGAAGAAGACATGTGTTCTTGGAGGGACACACCCCTAACGATGCAAAACTGCGAACTGTGATGAGTGGTAAGATGCAGTGAGCCAATTAACAGAATGACGTGGAGCTCTGATGTTTTAAATCCTCACCTGAGGATATGTTTATTGATTACTTTAGAGAGAGAGGAAGGGGTGGAGAGAGAGAGAAACTTCAGTGTGAGAGAGAAACATCCGTCGGCTGCCTCCTGTATGGGCTCCAACCAGAGAGGGAACCCTCCCCCGAGGGAAGATCGATCCCTCATCCTAGAGATTGAACACGCCCTGGATATGCGCCCTGACCAGGGATGAAACCCACAACCTTTTTATGTACGGGGTGATGTTCCAACCGACTAAGCCACCCGATCAGGGCTGGGGCATTGGTTTTAAACTGCGTAAACAGGAAGGACCACCAAGCACCCAGAAAATAAGAAGTAACTAAGCAAAGGGAGCACTTTGGGGCTGCGTGAAACAGCACGTGCAAAGGCCCTAGGGTGGGGAAGAGCTTGATGCACCGCAGGAAGTGAAAGGCAGGCAGGTGTCCAGAGTGTAGTCAACGAGAGGAAAGGGGTC